TCATAATTTTAGGGTTTAGGGTTTAGTTTGGGGTTTAGGGTAGGGTTCATCTTTGTAGGGTTGTGGGTTTAGGGTTTAGTTTAGGGTTTAGGGTAGGGTTCATAATTATTGTTCCGTAATATTTTATGGGTGTAGAGATGTGCAAAATCTTCGCTTAGAAGGGTCTGGAACTTTTGTACTTGTGTAAGAAACTGTGTTTCTGAAAGTATGGTATCTTCAGTTTACGGTTCCCCAAAGGGCGCTAGGTACCCATATGGGGGGAACTAGCCCAAACCATACTAGTAATTCCTATAATAGGAACCCTATATTCCACCATTTAGGAGCCCTGAAAGCAGCCCTTGACTATAGGAACCCTTATACAACCCTCTATAGGTACTTAGGACCCTTGAGGTTCTTGGATGACGGAAACCCTAAACCCTAAACCCTAAACCCTAAAGCCCTAAACCCTAAAACCCTAAACCCTAAACCCTAAACCGACGTTCGAGATGAGGTGGGTCCATCGTTCCGAGCCTCATTCCGCAACTTCTACTCATGGAGGGCCTGTCGGTGCTCGCTGTCTATGTGCCACCCGGCCGCAGACCTGAAACCCTAAACTTACACCCCTACCATAGGGGCCTGACTAGTCAGAAGAGGGTTTTGGGGGGGTCTATTATACTCCTGAAACCCTAAACTTAAGCCCCTACCATAGGGGCCTGAATAGTCCGAAGATGTTTTTTTTTTTTTTTTGGGGGGGTCTATTAGACTAGAATTATAAGAACCCCTGCCCCTGAACCCTATTCTAATTTTCAAGGCCCCTGCATTCAACCCTAAGGAAGGCGGTTTTTGCTCAGACCCCGACTTCCGTGCAGTAGATGTTTTTGTTGCTTCAACGTTGCCCTGCATGTAGGGGTTTGGGGTTTAGGGTGTAGGGATTTAGGGTGTAGGGATTTAGGGTGTAGGGATTTAGGGTGTAGGGGTTCAGGGTGTAGGGGTTTAGGGTTTAGGGTGTAGGGGTCTAGGGTTTAGGGTTTACTAGTGGGCGCAAATACGGCTTCTCAGGAAAATGATGAATGTGCATTTCGGGGTGTCAAGTTGGAAAGACTGAGTGATTAAAAACCCGTACTGCGCAAGGCAGTTTAGCAAAAAGCAGGGACCCTCGACCCTATATGCGCCCTCCCGAATCAAGTACCCCTGTGTGATGAATCCCTTCACTTGGCTCAGGGCAGACGAGGATCCAAGCTTTGGTGAGGCACCTTCTGGGTGTAAGTGATTTAGGGCTTAGGAGTTTAGGAGTTTAGGGGTTAGGGTTTAGGAGCACACTGCTCCGATTTGCAGTGGTTCGTAAGAGTATGTTTGATAGTGTTGGGCGTTCATATGCTTGCAGGAATCTTTTAATTAGCGTTTGCTTTGCGAGCATATCCTGCAGTTGGCTCTGTGTGATAGCACTGGGAAGGTTTTGTTACTTGGCAGCTTTGGGGATTGTAAGGGTTACCTCACCTTATAACCAAAATACCCTACCTTTTGGGGGACCTATATTAGGAAATGGCATTTTGGCACCTTAAAAATGTAGGTTTTCGAGTGGTTGAGGCAAGGAATAGATGTTCAGGTGCGGCGCCTTTTGAGCTTAAGGTTTTGTGTGCCCTTAAGGAATAGATGTTCAGGTGCGGCGCCTTTTGAGCTTCAGGTTTTGTGGGCCCTGGGAGCCTATCTACCACTGTAGTAGGTGATGGTCCCTAGATAGCCATGGTAGATCTACCACTGTGTAGGTAGCTGGGCTTCTGCTGTACAGGGAGTTCAAAACAGGAGTTTACGGTTCAACATTTTGGGTGTAACAAAGAAGCCTAAATAGTTACCAAGATTATTCCTGAGGGTTCCTTATAGTATTGCAATAATGTTATACAGGAGCTCAAAACCTTATTCTAATGATCAAGGCTCCTACATTACGGCATCGGTTGTCAAAGTTCGACCGTAATCCTCAACCATCCCGACCCTCCACAGTGCTCGACACCCTAAACCCTAAAACCCTAAACCCTAAACGCTGAACCCTAAACCCTAAACCCTAAACCCTAAACCCTAAACCCTAAACCCTAAACCCAAACCTTAAACCCTAAACCCTAAACCCTCATGAGAGTCCCTGTG